AACCTGCCTCTGCCTGAATCCAGATACCAGAATTAATTTTTCTTCTATTGAGATACATATGGGATGTGGCAAACAATCTGCCAATGTCTACTCCACTGCATTTTTCACCAACTGTGGCCGTCCTGGGGACCAGCGTCCCAAATGCTCCACCAACTCACTCTTTTCTTCTTCCCACCACCACGGATGTTCTAGTTGCATATCATATAACCTAAAATAGCACAGCTAACTTAATTTTGAAGAAATAAGATTTTATACTTGTTTCTCTTTGTTTCAATATTTGATTATTTTCTATTTATTTTAGATGAGGCAATAATGTATGTATGTAACGAACAAACCAAAAGAAACTGAAAACCATGTACCTGATTTGTGAGCATATCTATTGGTTGTACGTTTAGAAGTAACTAGTACTCTTGTCCACAAAGGTTTGTCATGGCCCCGACGCCCCTAATTCTGCTTTTTGCAGGAGAATTGTAGACTCCAATGCATGACAAAGTCGTTGCCAATTCATTGTCTTCAACCTGTCACTTAAACGCATCAAATTAAGTTGAACTCAAAAGATGTTGTCAAGAACTAACATACAGAGAGTCATGATCACAATCAAGAAAGATGTCATGAACATTGATGAAAGTCCTGAGAGGTCTCTCCCTTTCTCCACAATATTGACCTTGATCTACTACATCATGTTGCTGTCTTAGAGAAACAAAATTGTAGTAGAGCTAGAGCATCCCTGTTAACCAACCCTAACCCTTGCATTAACATTGGCTCTTGTCAAATCCTTTAAATTTATGCATAATTTATGATTCTAGAATTGAAAATGTTGAACAACGTTAAGAAGGACAACATATAAAACTAAACATTTGCCCTGAATAACATCAAAAGCTGTTGAGCTTGAGCAGAGAAATCTAGTGTCCAGATGTAACTCAAATAATAAGTAAATGCAACATGCATATTAGTGGGCAAAGATGAACATCTTCAAGAGATGGTTAATAGACAGCTGGAAGCCCAATCCACCACATTTCCTTCCCTAGCATTTATGATTAGATTCCAGACATGTAACACCATGTACCGCGATGCCTGACTCACGCATGGTTAAATCCAATTCATATAGTTAAGATATATAAGCCTACTAAATCCATATTTCATTTGTAAAAACAGCAAAACTCACTAATTCCCTATCCTAACATCTGCGACTAATTAAGCTTAGGCTGAATGACGAATTGATGTAAAAAAACATTTGTAATATTGAAAATGTTAGCAAACACCATTATAGAAACAGAAACAGAAACAGGGGATGTTTAAGCAGCTTTGATTCAAGAGCGATGTTTCCCCTGATTAAATTTGTGGAAACTTTAGGCGAGGTCACTTGGGTCTTCTCCTCAATCACTTATTGCATATATATGTATGTATGACTACAATCAAATAAATAATGGAAAAGAGACTGTAATAGGTTCAACGCATCTGGTAATAGAAATGTAAAATGATTCAAAAACCATAATGCTTGTTATCTAGAACCAGGAAAGTAGGCAAGGGAAAGATTTGATGTAAAAGCAACGAACTTTGTATCGCTTCAACTTAAACTGAATAATAATTCAAAATCCAGACTAAAGCAGATAGAAAAGGAGCAAACTTTACCATTGAAGAGCCAAAAACAGGATTCCTTCTTCCAAGTTTTAGAGTCACAGCCGCCACTCTCACTCCATATGCAAAGCAACCGAAGGGTTTTTGTTTGAAAAAAAAGAAAAAAAAGAAAAAAAAGAAGAAAACCAAGTTTACTGAATAACTGATAGGTGACCAAACGAAAGTGACAGTCATTCAAATCAAAGCTTCTTCTGGAAGCCCTTGGGCGTTTGATTACTTCAGAAGTTTTGCCACGTCAACTTTCTTTATATTAAAAAAAACAAGGGTATGCTTTTGCTATATGCGAATGCCCCTCACTTCACTTGACAAAGCTGTACTAATGATAGCTTTTACTCTGAAAAAAGGGGAAAAAAAGGAAGAAAGATGGCGTGCGAGGTTCAAGGTGAGGGAGATCCAAGCCCTCTTGCTACATCACCGTCAACACAGCGTAAGCTGAATGGAAATTGCTATGGGTGCGGGCAGAAAGGTCACTGGATAGCGAATTGCCCCACCAAGATCGGCAAAGGATCGTCCACACCACCCGGATCCCACAACAATGTACCTGTGTTGCGCTGCGGTTGCCATAGGACTTGCCGCGTTCGTGTTTCCCATACAGAGAAAAATCCAAATAGGAAGTATTATTATTGTCCTGAGTGTGAGTTTATTGGTTTTTGCGACACATTTGAGGCTATAGTGTGTCCCTGTGGCGCTGGTTTCTGCACCATCAATTTGGAAGGAGATGGGGAAAAAGGGCCAAAGAATTACCACAAGCAAAACAAGAGATACTATTATACTTGCCGAATAAAAAAGGTATGTCCAATTCAATTCTTCTGTTTTCTCTTTCAGCTTTGGCAACAAATCATGTTTCTACCCATATTTCTAGAATCAGTCTAAGAAATTATTATTTTTATTATTATTTGTTAATTTTGTTTCTGTTTTTCTCCAATTTACCTATTTCTGCCTGGTGAATAATTGGGTACCTATTTTCATTAGAATTTCCTCTCTTTTTTTTTCTTTTTTTTATTGTGTTAGTATATATATATATATTTTTTGGGTGGGAATTATTGCTTATTATAGATATCATCAATGTTGTAAAATGTGGAATCCATATTTTGGGTATTTATTTGCCTGCATATTAGGAACTACTTGAGATCAGATGTGGAACTATTTTAACTTGTAGTGGGTTATCAGTTGCCGTTAACTTAGTATTAGATTATCAGACATTTATTTATGGTGAATCCTACTCAGGGACATGGAGCTTGTGATTTCACTCAATTTGGCAGTGCTCAACATCCGTGGCCTTCTCCAGTGGTGCCTATATTCTCCCCGAAAGATAAACCACCATTGGAAGAGACTCCAACGCATCATCCAGTAGCAAGGAATCAACAAGATTCTTCTGATGGGTCCAACCTGGTCACCGTGGAGGGCAGAATCCATGTTTCCCGTTTAGGATCCCAATCTGAGATTCATGGCCGTCAAATTGCATTCTGTAATCAGATGTCTAGTGCAGGGGATTCCCCAACTCAATGTGTGTTTTCCTATATATATAATTTAACTACGATTGTCTCTAGTGATATTTACTTAGTAAAAAAGAACAACAATCCTTCTTCTTTTGTTGTTGTTCCTACAATCCCTTATCCCTGCAATCTTGTGATGTTATCCATATATTAAGTTTGCATTCTCTCCCTTTTGGTGACAGGTAAAATTGTTTACATTTTGGGCGTGCGGGTGTTTGGTTGGTTAGGCAGGCTTGTTTTCTCTCCCTCTCGATCTTTAGCTGATCCTCCCTTTTACTGTAAGTACTGATTTCTTTTATTTATATGTATATATTTGGATTAATCTTTTGTTTGTTTCCTCTGTTTGATTCTAACTTGTGACTATATTGTTTTGATCATCCTATTCTTATAAAGATGCAGATATTTATGATCATAATAGAACTTCATCAATATGGCAATTGTCTCATGCCCCTTCTGTTAATGTTGTTGCCCTTGAACAAGTATTCCCTGCATCACCAAGAGAGGATGCCCATCCGTTTGGCATTCCTTCAAGCCACAAGAGGCTTCGCAATGCAGGGCAAAATGATCCTCTTCTGGGAGATCTTATGGAGCGGCATATGATTGAAAAGTGCCGGTATGATGACATTTGCCAAATGCATCAAGAGGCTCTGTCTGCCTTTACAACTTGTGATAAGCAACTTCAATCTCTTCGGGAAAGGAGTGCTGTTATTAGGAATATGCTTGGGGAAGTAGAGAAGCTGTTGCTTCCTTGTGAGACTGAGACTGAAAAGCTCAAGAATGATGTCCAAGAGTTATCTAAACAGTTGATGCACTCAAAAAGAAAGATGGAGGTCACATCTCGAGAATTGATGGAAGCTGTTAGAGATGATTTAGAGAAGGCGAGATATTAGCTACCTTCTGTTGTTGTTGTGATGTCTACATATTTAGCCTATCTGTAGCAGTAGCAGTAGCTGTGATGAAGGTTGTCTGCGGCAGAATGGAAGGAAATGAATGAAGCTAGGAAATTTGCTTAATGTATATATATATATATATATGTTTGATCATTAGTGTATAATGTCATGTGATGAATGAACGTGATGTAAATTTATGTTGCTCATCTTTTTTCTTTTTTCTTTTTTTGGGTTTGGATAATTCTATTTTTATTTTTTTAAAATGATTAAGAGATAATTTTATTTTATAATTTTTTTTATATAGCCTTAGATTTTTTTATTTAATAATTAATTTTTTTATTTTACTAGAATTTGAGATATTATGTATATTTATTAATTTAATTATATATAAAAGTTGTATAAAAAATCATTAAAAAAAGCTGTTCGTATATTATTATTATCTTTATTTTTAGTGACTTCCTTCTATGTAAGTTTTGTCAGAAAAATTATTATATAATATAGACCATATAAAAGCAAGGGTAAAATATATAATATTTGAGCCTCGTCTCTTCTAAAAGTCTGAGCTCATGTTTTAT